TTTGTAGTCTCCAGATGTGGCTGGAGCCCCTTCCGGGCCTCCTGAGACATGGGGTATTGTTTGATCCTTACCGGACTCTCTCCTGGCTTGAGCTCTACCAGGACCGGGGTCCTGTGAGCGGCTAGTCCTATCCCTCCCCACCCCCCCACCCCCGTGTCTGCCCAAACCCAAGGGGAATTCTTGAAGCCATCTGTCTATATTATCCTCTCTCGGGAGCGCCTCCTAGTGGAGGTGGTATTCATCCTCCAGTTTCATGGTCAGGACCTGGATGGGGGTGGCCCTTGCCATCGGTGACCTGAGGCCCCCCTTGTCTGAAAGTTATCTGAGCTCCAATCTTGGTCAGTAGTCCCGTCCTAACAGCGGGTAGGGGAATTCTGGTATTACCATAAAGGAGTGGGATACCCGGCCCATCCCCAAATCTACCGTTCTTCGGGTAGTCCATGAATACTGGCTCATACCAGTTGCCCCTTGGACCCAGGACTTCTTGCTGGCTAGTTTTCCTTGTGGGGTGCGGAGGACCGAATGTTGTGCTCCGGTGTCGACAAGGAAGTCAACAGGGGTCCCCTTCACTTTCAGAGTTACCCTGAGTTCGGGGAGAGGGTCCGAACCCTGACTCCCCTAATCACTCAGTTCATCTAGCTCTAGGACGTTTACTCGATCCGTCTTGCCTCCCTTCCCACCGGCCCTTTTCGGACAATCTCGGGCCCAATGCCCTATCTCCTTGCAGTATGCGCACTGATCCTTCTGCAGCCTCTGCTTCCCCCCCTTGGTGGTTCCTTTACCTTTTCTTGCGTCGTCTGCCAGCTGCCGGAGACGGCGGTCTCGTTCCTCGGGGGAGTCAGCAGTGGTAGCTGGTAGTATTCTGGCCAGGTCTCGAGTCTGCTTCCTGCTGGCAGCCGCCATGGCGCAAGCCTGCTTGTCCTCAGGAGGCTCCCGGTTGTTATATACCTTTTCAGCTACCACCAGAAAGTCCTGCAGACTTTTTCTCCTAGTCTATCTATTTTCTGTAATCTTCTCCTAATGTCTATGGCCGATTGGTTTACAAAGGCCATGATAACAGCTGCCTTGCTTTCCAGAGCCTCTGGATCCATGGGGGTATAGGTACGGAATGCCTCCATGATCCGTTCTAAAAAGGCAGCCGGAGATTCATCTTTTCCCTGTTGTCCATTTCCTACCTTGGCCAAATTGGTTGGCTTTCTAGCAGCCATTCGGAGACCCCCCATTAGAGTCTGGGGGTAGACCCGGAGCCTCTCCTTACCTTCTGCCGTGTTGAAATCCCACTGGGGCCGAGTTAAGGGGGGGGAAGGAGGCATCTATCTGAGCCTGGTTGGTGGTGGGATTCCCGTCTGTGCCCAGAACTAGTTTTGGGGCCTCATTGAGGATTCTTTCTCTTTCTTCAGTCATGACCAGGACCTGCAAAAGCTGCTGGCAATCGTCCCACGTGGGGCTAGGAAGGGCTTAAGCCAAGAGGGTGGGTAGAGGGGTAGTCTGAGTCTGTCCCATAAGGTCCGTCCAGTATGTCCACAGAACAAAACAGAGAAACACATAAGCAGACCAACAGAGGGCCCTTAGAATGTCTTCCAACTCCATGGAAGCAAAGCTGAAAGCTAGCTTAGACCTTTGAGGGGACTCCACGTCCCTCCAAAACCGAGAGCTAGACGACGGCCTCACGCCGACCAGCGGGAGAGACCCGCCTCGTCTCAGACCTTTGAGGGGATTGCACGTCCCCCCAAAACAGATGAGGGGATCCCACGTCCCTCCAGAAGGGAGGATCGGAACGTCTTCTGAAACTCCCGGCCCATGGTCCTCCAGTGCGTCCACTTAGACCGCGTCGGGCACTACCAGAATTCCAGAAATGAGCTCACACAGAAAAGACGGAACAAACAGACACTAACCGTGGCCAGTCAGGCTCTCCGGGTCGGGGGTCCCTCGGGGGTCTTGGGGATCCCAGACGAGCCCCCAAATGTTATGCCCAGAATTCGTGATCCCCAAAGACCACCAGGGAGCCGAGTCCGATGTAAAAGCAAAAGAGCCTTTATTCGAGCTAGCTTGAGCTCAATCCCCTACCTGCACTGAAGCAGCGGTGAGATACCAGGGAGAGAGAGCGAGTTTCAAAAGGACAAAGGTTTTATTGGGGCCTAGGGGCCCTTGGTGAGGTAAGGGCTGTGGCCTCAGCCCATTGGCTGGGGAAGGGTCCGAGTCCTGTTAGGCAGGGGAGGGGGGGTGGTGGTTACTCAAGGGGAAGAGGCGTGGTCAAGGTGAAGGACACAGAACAAGATGGAGTCGGCCGGCGTAGGCCCGTCCTTTCAAAAAGCACACAAAACGGCTTGCGGCAACTGTGAACAACAGAGTGTTGACGCATCTGGCTGAAAATCTCCCAATGAGGAGAAGAAGGCCAGAACTCTGACGAAGAGGCACCGGGCCGCCCGAGGAGACACCCCCCGGGCGGCGCAGGGGGTTCCGAGCTCGGCCAGAGACGAGACGGGTGCGGGTCTCGAGCCGACACGGCAGAAGGACGCTGTTTGCTAGAAGACCTTCAAAAATTAAGGATCTCGGGGCCCCCTGGCTGGCTCAGTCAGTGGGGGGTGCGACCCTTACCCTCAGGGGCCTGAGTTTGAGCCCCACGTTGGGCGTGGAGCCTACTTAAAGATAGAAAAAAATGAAAAGGACGTTAAAATTGAGGGTCTGTTGGGTCTTTTCCCCATAACGTGGTTGTATTACGTCTTCTTTAAAAACTTTTACTGTGTATGTATTCATTTTGAGGGAGACAAAGAGACAGCATGAAGGGGCGGGGCAGAGAGACAGAAAGAGAGAGAGAATCCCAAGCAGGCTCCACAGAGGCCGACACGCCCAGAGGCCAACGCGGGGCTCCATCCCCTTAACCGCGAGACCGTGACCCGAGCTGAATCGAGAGTTGGACGTTGCAACAGGGGAATGGAGACGACGTCCTGAGTAAGGCAGGGACAAGCAGGGGTGTATGGCCAGGGGCAGGGGTTTCTGAGCGGGCATTCGCTAAGAGGGGGCATCTGGGGACTCGTGCCAGGACCAGCCCACAGGGCCTCTGCTGAGGGCTGTGGGAGTCGGGGGGGGGTGAGTCGGGGGTGGGGTCAGGGGTTTTCATCCCAGGTGGAGCCTGACGAGGTGCCAAGGGCAGATAAAAGCCTTGAGGGCAGAGAGAGAGAGAGGTCTCCTGGTCCTAAAGTCTGTCAACTTGAACAGTTGAGCAGACGCCAGGTTTTTTTTTCCAGCAACAAGTGGAATTAGACAGTCCATGCCAGGACAGAGAAGACAGAGAGCTTCCACTGATTAACAGGAGTTTTGGCAGCGGCTTGGGAATATTCCTGAAAGCCTCCATTCTGAGGGAGACCAGCAAGAGACCGCTGGCTCTAATCACCATCATGGTTGACCCAGGAAACGAATGAGGGAGCAAGTCCCACATACAGTTACAGTAACCGCTATACATCCTAATAGCGAATGTATTAGGAAAAACAGTAAAAGGGTGTTAGATTCCCCTTTGTTAGGGATGGCCTGTGTCTTTTTGTTTCCCCACCACCCTGGGTTAGGTTTTGGAACACTTGTATATATTGCTCAGGGTTGTCTGCAACTGCGCTCAGGTCCTTTTGTTTGCTCAGAATATTGCAGCGAAAATGGACCCTTCGTGAGACCAAATTCACCATGAAGCATTTTAGTCAACAGATACATTGAAAGTGCCTTCGTTTCGAGGGGATGATATTTCGTCTCTGACAATCCTGGATAAGGAGGGCATGGGGGTCTCACAGGTGGCTTTTCCTGAGAAGAGCCCTCAGAGGACAAGTCTGCAAGAACTTGCTTTTCTCGGTGCCTTTAAGGGCCAGAAGGCTGGCACCTAACTTCCAAGTCTTACATAAGGACATGTTGGCCATTTACCCTCTCTTTTACAATATAGATCTAACTTTAAGACAGTACTGATTGAGTGCCTCCCTCAGGAGACCGGGAATCTCTATTCGACAAGAGGATCCTTTGAAGGATTTTCTAAAACAATGCGCGGATACTCTGAACTTGAGATCCACGACCTACGATTTGACAACAGCAACCAAAATGGCAAAAAGGGGAAACGGATGATCGTCTGGCGCCTTTTCTGTGCCGTGTCTGTGCTGGTCCTGAAGCTGAGTCTGGAGGTACTGATCATTTGTTCCTATTGGATCAGCTCCCATCCTCGTTATGGGCAAAATCTTCAACTGATCTTGGCAGAATCCACAGTGTACCTCCCGTCAAGATTCAAGTTGACCTTGCAAAACTTCTCCCTAGAGTTAATATCTTTTCAATTACGAAGGCCTTCAAGGCATCCACACCATGATAGAATGTTACAAGGCTCATAGCCTCATGATCCCCCGCAGTAGTCCAGATAACACCTCTATTATACCTGTGAGAAAACCCGACTGCTGAGGATAGTATTTCGTCCAGGACTTCCGAGAAATCAATAGCGCTGTAATCCCTCGACATCGCCTTCTTCCCAAACCTCACACTCTACCAACATCCACTCTTCCTGAAAGCAAAGTTTTCACTCTACACGACCCATGTGCTGTAGTTTTTAGCATTCTAGTTGATAAGGATAGTCAGTATCTTTTTACCGTCACACGCAGCGAATGACAATACGTCTGGACTGCAACCTCCCTGGGTTTCACAGAGTGCTTCACGTTTCCCACAAACCTTAAAGGCTGATTTGGATGATGGGAAGTGTTTCTGCAGGCTCGACTTTGTTACAATGCGTAGATGATTTGCTTCTCTGCTCCCCGGCTCGTGCCTCTTCACACGAAGACAGCACCCCCTTGGGAAAACTTCTGGTTTTAAACTGCCCATAAGGTCTCCAAAGAAAAAGTACAGTTTGCTCAATCTCAGGGTAGGTAGTTCTAACAGCTCACCTGTTCTCAGAACAAGGCCCACATCTGGACCCAGGCAGACTGAAGGCATCCACAATCTCTCACAACTTAAATCTAAGAGCCAATTACAAGGCTTTCTTGGACTGGCTGTCTACTCTCAAAACTGAATTCCAAACTTCTCTCTTAAGGCTCAGCTCAATGCAGGCTTTCAGACACCTGGGAAATATCTGAAAAAGTAAAAACAAAAAAAATGTAGTCGTTACTTCAAAAGCAACATTAGCGTTAGACACAAAGGGATCGTGATGAAAGGTTTAGGGAGAAAACATGTGATTTCATGGTGCTGTACCCACGGTCCTGTACCCTCATGTCTCGTCAAACTATACCCTTTAACTTGAGGCTCTGTTGTATGTAAATTATACCTCCTTAAAGAGAGTTTCAAAACATAAAATACTAGAAGCACATGTTGCAAAGTTCCTTTCAAATCCTGAAGCGCATGGGTGATATGAGTCTGCCTGCCCGTGTCTCAAAAATCCAAAATAATAAGACATTTAAAAAATTAATAACATCAGAATAAGCAGCTCCTGAGCGCACCCTGTCCCACGTGTTCAACTCCATAACATCCACATCCAAGTCCATGAACCAGAGAGCGATCCAAAGACTGGCAGAAGAAACGCCACACCTAAATAGAGAGAAGCTGCATCAGAAAGGTTAGGGAGGTCAGAAAGGTGGAGGCTGGCTGCCTGCAGAATGGGCAGAGAACGTGAGCCCTCACCCCAGGGAGCTCACCCAGTGAAGACTAATAATCTCCGTAACATTTGGCATTAAAACCCAGAGCGGCTGTATTTCCTTGAGTTTAGATCCTGGAGCTCTGGAGGTCAGCTGACCCAGCACTGGGTGATCCAGGAGGATGAGTGCTAGCCAGGTCCCTGCCTGTGTAGACAGGCAACGTCAGCGTGGCATTTTACACAATGCCGAGGCAACAGGAGACAGATGCATTCCTGCTGGTTCCTGAGTGTGTTGGGGGACTTCTCCAACAGTGAGGGAGCTCACACCCACCATTCTTCTCCCCCAGTCTCCCAGAATAAGCATAGAAGCACCCACCAGTCGGTGAGGCTGCACAGACACTTGCTACCTAACCCGTTAGCAGCGCGCCAGTCCCAGGGGTTCACTGGGGGACTCACCACACCAAGCCTCCCGATCTCAGGGCAAACATTCTTAAAACCACAATGGCACCCTGTCCGACAAGCATGCATAGCTGCCACAGTACACTGTGCACATCTGCACCTCACCCAACTGTGCACATCCAGGCACCCTCATCTGTCTCACCCAGCCACATGTCCCCAGGCACAGACATGCTCTGTGCATATCCTCACGCCCCTGGCTTCCAATGCTGGTCCACAGCCCAGAGCCATCAAAGGACATCGGGAAACCTGGCATAGGACTGGTAGCCCTGTGCAATTTTGCTAACACTCCTGCCCTGCTCCCAAGTTACCCAGCGGGCATACCACCCCACAGCTGGCCTGCCTGGGTCCCACTGACACCACTGAGTGTAAGCACAGCCCATAACAGGCACGCAATCAGTGCCGACACCTGCACTGAAAGGAAAAGTAACCCAGACACAACAGCAGGGAGTGAGCAATACCCATGCGATATCCTCCTGAAGGTCCAGGTCCTATAAATGGAGACGTGCACTACTCAGGACTCCAGGACCTCTTTTTCATACAGTCATTAATTTCTAAAATTTTTTTTTTCAACGTTTATTTATTTTTGGGACAGAGAGAGACAGAGCATGAACGGGGAAGGGGCAGAGAGAGAGGGAGACACAGAATCGGAAACAGGCTCCAGGCTCTGAGCCATCAGCCCAGAGCCCGTCGCAGGGCTCGAACTCCCGGACCGCGAGATCGTGACCTGGCTGAAGTCGGACGCTTAACCGACTGCGCCACCCAGGCGCCCCTACAGTCATTAATTTCAAGATCAGAAGGCACTGCTGACTTTCTTAACACAGAGAAACAGACCCAGAGAGACAGACAAAATGGACACACAGAGATGTTTATCCACAAGGAAAGAGCTAGTCAACATCACAGCGAGAGATCTAAGCCAAAGAGATATAAATAACATACCTGATACTGAATTTAAAGCAATGATCATAAGGATACTCATTGGGGTTGTGAAATGAGTAGAAGAGTGAGACCCCTGACACGGAGATAAGAAATAACACAGTGCACATTGAGGACACAATAAAGGAGAAACACGCTAGCTGCAATGAACAGAGGGATGGAAGAAGCAGGCGAACAAACTAGTGACCTCGAAGACTGAGTGTTGGAAATTAATCACACTGAACCAAGGAGAGCACAGGATTCTGCAACGTGAGATGAGACCAAGGGAACTCAGTGACTACAGGAAAGATAATAATATTCATGTTGTAGGACTCCCAGGAGGAAGAGAATTTGGGGCCGAAAATTTATTTGAGGAAATAATAGCTGAAAACGTCCCCGATTGGGGGAGGGAAACAAACATCCACATCCAGGAGATTGGAGAACTCCCATCAACATCAACAAAATCAGGCCAACACACAAACATATTGTAACCAAACTTGCAAATTACAGTGACAGGAAAGAAAAACTCTTAAAAGCAGCAAGACAGAAGACCTTAACTCAGAAGGGAAGACCCATAAGGCGAGCTACCCGATATCTGAACAGAAACTCGACAAGCCAGAAGCTAGCGACATCACATATTCAACATTTATTTATTTTTGGGACAGAGAGAGACAGAGCATGAACGGGGGAGGGGCAGAGAGAGAGGGAGACACAGAATCGGAAACAGGCTCCAGGCTCCGAGCCATCAGCCCAGAGCCCGACGCGGGGCTCGAACTCCCGGACCGCGAGATCGTGACCTGGCTGAAGTCGGACGCTCAACCGACTGCGCCACCCAGGCGCCCCAACATCACATATTCAAAGTGCTGAATGGAAAAATCAGCAGCCAACAATATTCGATCCAGCAAGGCTATCCTTCAGAATGGAAGGAGACACAGACTTTCCCAAACGAAAACTAAAGGAGTCTGTACCACTAAACCCGTCCTGCAAGAAATATTAAGAGGGATTCTTCGAGTGGAAAGGAGAGACCAACAGTGACAGTCTAGAGGTAGAAGACACAAGTCAAGTAAAAAATGAATATGTCTGCAAAACAAATCAGTTAAGGAACTCAGAGAAATGGATCTGAATTGTAATAACCTCCACCAAAAACCTACGGAGGAGAAAATAATGGGTGCGAAGGTAAATGATCATCAACTTAATACGAATTGCCAAATGCAGAAGAGGTTATATAAACACCTGACAGTGGCCATATGCTAAAACCAATCATAAATATGCTAAGAACAGAGATAAGGAAATCAAACTATATCACTAAAGAAAAGAAGCAAAACATGAAAGAAAGGCAAGAAAGGATCAGAGAAAATCATTAGAAACCACAGCAAAACAGGCAATAAAATGGCAATACGTACGTACGTATCAATCATTACTTGGAAGGTAAATGGAGTGAATGCTCCAATCTAGAGACGTAGGGTGTAAGCATGGATGGAAAAACAAAACCGATTTGTATGCCTATAAGTGACCCACTCTACACCTCAAGAATGATAGTGAGAGGATAGAGAAACATTGCACACATTAATGTCCAATGAAACCTGGAGTAGCAACGCTTGTATCAGAAAAAAATACACTTAAAAAAAGTACATAACAAGAGACAGAGGAGGACACTGTATAACAGCCAAGGGTACAACCCAAAAAGAAGATATAACAAGTGTAAATGTATCCCACAATTCGGTGGGATTTATTCCCAAGCTGCCAAGGTGGTTCAATATTTGCCTATCAACCAATGTGACACAATACATCAGCAAGAGAAAGGATAAGGACCACATGATCGGGGCACAAGGTGGCTCAATCCTTTAACAGTCTGACATCAGCTCAGGTCATGACTTCACAATTCGTGAGTTCGAGTCCGGTGTCAGCGTCTGTGTTGAAGGCTGAGAGCCAAGAGCCTCCTTTGAATTCTGGGTCTCCCTCTCTCTCTGCCCCTCCCCTGCTTACGCTCTGTCTCTCTCAAGATTACTAAACTTTAAAAGAAAAGAACCATACGGTCATTTCAATACACGCAGAAAGGAGCATTTGACAAGTACAACATCCACTCAGGATTATAACCCCCTAAAGTAGGTTTACAGGGAACATACATCAACGTAATAAAGGTTATCTATGAAAACCCGGCAGTTATAATCCACCTTAATGGGGAAAATCTGAGAGGTTTTCCTGTAAGGTCAGGAAGAAGACCAGGATGTTTACTCTTACCAGTTTGAGTAAATTACTGGAAGTCCTAGCCACAGCCAGCAGACAAACGAAATGGAACCAAACTGAAATAAATAAAATAAAATAAAATAAAATAAATAAAATAAATAAAATAAAATAAATAAAATAAAATAAATGAAATGAAATAAAATAAAATAAAATAGAATAGAATAAATAAAATAAAATAAAATAAAATAAAATAAATAAAATAAAATAAAATAAATAAAATAAAATGGAATAGAATAAATAAAATAAAATAAATACAACAATAAAATAAAATAAATAAAATAAAATAAAATAAATAAAATAGAATAAATAAAATAAAATAACATAAAATATATAAAATAAAATAAATAAAATAAATAAAATAGAATCGAATAGAATAAATAAAATAAAATAAAATAAAATAAGTAAAATAAAATAAATAAAATAAAATAAATAAAATTAAAAAAATAGAATAGAATAAATAAAATAAAATAAAATATAATAGAATGGAATAAATAAAATAAAATAAAATAAATAGAATAGAATAGAATAAAATAAATAAAATAAAATAAAATAAATAGAATAGAATAGAATAGAATAGAATAAAATAGAATAAAATAAAATAAAATAAAATAAAATAAAATAAAATAAAATATAAAACAACTCCAAATCTGGAGGAAGTGAAACTTTCACACTTTGTAGATTACATGACACTATATAGAAAACCCTAAAGAGCCCACCCAATAACTGCTAGAACTGATAAATGAATTCAGCAATGTCACAGGATACAAATCACTGTGCAGAAATCTGTTGTATTTGGAGAAAACAATACTGAAGCAGTAGAAATAGAAATTAAGAAAACAGTCCTATTTACACTTGTACACCAAATAATAAGATGCCTATGAATA